ATAGTCTTTGTGTGTGTAGTTCTTGTCAACAAAATTTTAAGCTGATTTTGAAATGGTTCCAATTCTGTGCTATTGCAGTGAAAGTTCTCTTAACTGATGTTTAGTTAGCCAGTGCTCTCCATTCCCTTTGTATGCTATAATGACTGATAACCTTAACATTAAGACTAGGCTCTATTACATCTATCCACTTCTGTTTCCACCCTTTGAGTTTTATGCTTATCAAAAGTCAGTTGTGTGATGCCTGGACCCCACCTCCAGAAAATCTGATACAGTTAGTCTGTGGTGTGACCTGAACATTGGTGATTTAGAGGAGACAGATAATCAAACACGTTGAAAAAGAAGTTGTATTTGTTTCTGAGCCCATATATCCTAGTTACACTTTTTTATGATAATCAGGTGGTTTAATTAACACTCAACTTAGATTGAAGAAATATGAATATGACAGGGTAGTTTCTATGAAAACCAAGTCACTTGCTTTGGAATTACTCAAAGCTGGTGGAAGATTGTAGTTGAATTAAGTGAGTGAAAGGCAACTATGAAATTTGAAAGTCTTCAAGGACTCTTCATGCAGATTTGTTCACAAATGTCTTTATTCCCTTGCCATTTTAAAGAAACTGGACACCATAGATTTTGCAGTGTGGGAACAGTTTGTAGTTTTTTCAAGACCCAAGGCATGTTATACCACTCAGCAGAGCCTTAACCAAAGAATAAATCTTAGTCCTACACAGAAAGATTTATATCATTGAAGTTAAAGTGAAATATATTCATGACTCCCTCTTTTGATCAAATATTTAAATTTACCTACTGCCCAATTACCAGTTTTTTATACACTCTGTCCCTGTGTGTGTGTATGTGTATGTGTGGTTTTATGTAGCTAATATAATCAATCATAGACTCAAAGATATAATAAGTGTTGTTAGAGAAAACAAACTTTGGGAAATGATGTGACTTGCTGAATTTCATAGACTGGCACATATGCCTTTGATTTGAGTAAAAGACCCATCATTTGGGGAAGTCTTTCGTTCGAATCAATGGCATCTGTGCCAGTCCAGTGCGTTTTCCAGAAATACTTGATTTTGGTCGTGTTTTGTGTTACTGATGATGAGCTGTACACTGCTTAGAATAGATGGAACAAGTGAGGCAATTTATAATTCTAAACTCACACATATTTGGGACTTTACTTGCCTTTTTAAGGCATTGGCATTAAGTAGCCGTGAGTCAGTACATATTCTACTTTAACACTTCAAGGAATAAGGAAGCAATTGTTGTTTGTGCCTACTGTTGGCATTCTCCAAACATCCATCGTAAACAGTGCTCTGACCCTGAAAAAGGAATCAATAAATCAGTATGCATTGAGTGCCTCCAATAATATTTGAAACATTACTTTTCCACAGGGGATACAACTATGAATAAAACAAACACAGTTGGCTGAGTGCAGTGGTATGTGCCTGTACTCCCAGCTACTCAGAAGGCTGAAGTAAGAGGATCACTTGAGCCTAGGAGTTTAAGGCTGCACTGTGAATATGCATGTGAATAGTCATGGCATTCCAGCCTGGACAACATAGTGAGACTCTATTTAAACAAACCAACAACTGCAATAACAAAAAACAGACCCAGTCAATCCGTGCCTTACTGAGATTAATATTCTAACAGCAAATAATTCAACTGTAGCTTGTAAGAGCTATAAAAAGTGGAAAGTTTGGTAGAATGCATGACTGGAGACAGGACCTAGTCTCAAGGAATAGTGGAGAGGATGGGGGTCAATGAGGGCTGGCATGTGGAATTGACGTTTTAGATAAACTTTAATGTATAAGTGGGAATTGTCAAGTGAATGGGGGGAGAGAAGGAAGATTTATGGAGAGTAGGCAGTGCCAAGCAAATGTAGGGGAGGGAATAGTCTGTCCAGAGGCACTGAGAGTATAAGGGGCGTATTAGCATTTGACAAATGGAAAGAAAGTCTGTGGATCTGCATAACAAAGAGGCAGGGAGAGGGTGAGATAGATGGTGATGAGGAGGAAATACACAAGGGCTCTCCGGTAAGAAAGATCTTAGAGAAGGTGTTTGTGCTTAGCTGTAATAATAATGGGGTGTTATTGCAGTTTTAAAGCTGTATATATCCTATTTTAAAAATTTGACTGCTTTATGGAAATTGGAATGCAAGGGAGACAGTGGATGTGGGAGACCTATAAGTAGAATGGTGGCGAGGGATAGGATGGTAGCATTAGAGACAGAGATTAGGGCTTGCAAAATTTATGTTCAGAGAGACATACTTTATAGTTTTGTTTTGCTTTTGTGCTTTCAATTAAAATTTCATTACTTGTTTGCTTTCCTAGTTAACCTTCTTAATTCTTTATTGCAACCATTCTGTCAAGATACATAAGCTTCAGGGGCCTACTGTAAATTTTTTCAGGCTAGGGTTAATTGCATCACTTTTTTTGGTCATATAGGGATTATGTTCTTTTATTTTTAAATTCAAGAAATTACAGCTTATTAGTAATAATAATAAAACTCAAGTGTCGGTAATAAGATGCGTTATGTAATAGCCCGGTTGTTTTACTAGACTAAGAATTATATGGGGGAATATTTTAAGCAAAGTGAAAAAGAGTTTTGACTGTTGGCATAATGTAAGAAGAATTGATATTAAGAGCTCTACTAGAAAGCTATGTAGTAGATGCAGTAGAAGTGTGGCTATTACATAAATGAAATATTTCTTACTCATTTTCACATTGCATTTATTACATATTTATCATGTCATGATTTTAGAAAGTACTTCACTGTCATCAAAATATTTTCCAATTTTGTTAAGACAAACTTTACTAGAAATTGTTAATATATATCCTTCTAATTTATAAATGGGAAGCAGTGTGCTATTGTTCTTCCTAATCTAGAAAGTTCTTTTGAGATTTATATTAAGTTTGCATGAAGTCAGTGGAAATAAGTCAAGCAGAAGGAAAATAATAACCTCAGAAAGAGATATGGGATATCTGTACTGTTTTTCCTATTTTTCCTACCCTCAACATATTTCTGTATTGAAAATAGAAATCTGTACATCAAATTTGAAATAATTTGTATGTATTTGCATTGCTTGATAATTTTGTTCATTTAAAATGTGATTATGTCCTCTATAATGAATCAAGATGGATTTAAAAATGCCTTCTAAATTGGTAAATTTTATTTTGTTTGAAAGTTTCAGTAAATTAAATAAACAGCATTGTACCATGAAACAGGACAGATGCAACTTGAAAGATTATATTTTCTGCTTTCTTCTAAATTTGTCAGAATGAACCTTTTATGGATTAAATGAGCTATGGCCTATACTAAGTAAATTTTGTTTTTATAAAATTTTCAAGTATAGATGATTTTGAATAAATATTCATATAAAGATTTTTGAAAGATGCTTATACAGATTGTGATTTTTTTTTTTTTTAATAAGAAAAAAGAGATTCTAGAGACTGTTAGGTTTAAATTTTTATTTTAGGTTTTATGTTGAAACTGAATATTGTTACCAAGTTTAGTTATATGCTTATATGCTTGGCTCTTATAGTCTATATAATGTTAATTAATTCTTCCTCGGATTACTGAGTTTAGGGATCCACCTTTTTATGTTGATTTGTTTTCCTGTTTGTATACTTATGGCTTTCTCTTTAGTTTCATGTATACAAACAAACCATAGTTGTGCCTTAGTGTTAATAACTTATTTTTTACTTGAAAACAGCCATTTATTTTTCAATATCATACTGACTCTTTAAGGGTTCCCCCCCCAAAAAAGTTACAGTAATTAAGTCAGCTTCTTCACTAGCCTCTTTATTGTATGTTTGGGTAATTACCAGAATCAGTTACGGTGTACTTTTTTGGTTCCTCCATTGTCCAGCATCTTCCCGAATAGACTCTTTGTTTTCTATCTACTTGGTATGTTCCTGAAAGGGTGAATTAATTTTAGTGCGATTTTATGAAAAAGAACATTATATTAAAAAGTCACCCAGTCCAAGGAGAGATATAAATTGTTTTTGAGTTATCTATTGTGTTTTTTACCTGTTTCACTGGTATACTGAATTAACAGTATCTTTTGAGGTCTGTTGCTTTTGAGATAGAGTACTAGGTGACTTCCTAAAATTAGTAATTACCTTTTTCATCAGTATTCTAAAGGCTTTTATATGTGTGATATTTTACATCATTCTTTAAACTATTCATTTAATTAGTTATTTCTAATGGTTAAGGCTTTTTTTTTTGGTTGTTGTTGGTGAGATAGCTCTGTTACCCAGGCTCGAATGCAGTGGTGTGGTCACAGCTCACTGCAGCGTTGACCTCCTGGGCTCAGGTGATCCTCCCACTTCATCCTCCCTAGCAGCTGGGACTATAGGTGCATGCCACCATGCCTGGCTAATTTTTGTAGAGACAGTTTCACCATGTCAACTAGGCTGGTCTTGAACTTCTGGACTCAAGTGATTCTCCGGCCTCAGTCTTCCAAAGTGTTGGGATTACAGGTGTGAGCCACTGTGCCTGACCATGGCCAAGTTTTTAAGTGCTAGTGTATTCAAACAGAACGTTCAGAACATGTGTTGCATCGCTAAAAAGACGAATGTGGAGAATTCAGAAACAATTCAGAAGAAACCAAGAAATGTTTGAAATGCTCTTTTAAAAGCAAACAAAACTATTCAGAATTCCTTTTGTATTCTTATGTTGGGGCTGAGAAATTACATGATATACTGTTATCAGATTCACTTCAAATTTAATTGGAAAAAAATTTCTTTTACTATTTTAAGCATTTAGATAGTAGTTTTAAACTTTGGCACATGAAATAATTCAAGTAATATTGTTAGAAGACTTAGTGAAGATTTACTCTGGATCTTGTGAAACAATACTGACAGGTAATCATGAATGAAAATCTCAATTTAAATTTACAGTCTCAGACAATCATGTTGTCAGTAGTCATTAAAATGAATTTATATTTTCTGATAAAGCATTTATATAATTCTTTTATGTAATGTGTTTTCTATAAGGTCAAAAGAAATAGACTGGCAACCTTATTTTACTACACGCATTGTTGATGATTTTGGCACACACTTACGAGTATTCAGAAAGGCTCAACAGAAAATAACAGAGAAAGATGATCAAGTAAAAGGTAATATCTTTATTCCATTTGAAAACTAGGATTTAAAAATCTGTTTTCCTTTTATCATTTTATATATCTTGAATTGTTTTTCTTCAGGTACAGCAGAAGATCTTGTAGATACTTTCTTTGAAGTTGAAGTTGAAATGGAAAAGGAGGTTTGCCGTGATCTAGTGTGCACTTCCCCCAAAGATGAAGAAGGTTTTCTTTCAATTTAACTTTTTTGACAATAGTAACTGGCTAGAGTCAAGTTAGCAGAACCAGTGAACAAATCTTAAGGGTAAAATTATTCTTACTTAGGGCAGGTAGCATAGTAAAGATGCTATTCATTTTATTTTATTTTGTAATTCTTAAAATTAGTTTCCAGATTCTGTTTTCTTCTTTAAAGGTCATCTTTAATAATTAACTGGTCCTGGCTGGGTGCAGTGGCTCACGCCTGTAATCCCAGTATTTTGGGAGGCTGAAGGGCCTGGATTGCTTGAGCCCAGGAGTTCAAGACCAGCCTCGGCAACATGGCAAAACCCTGTCTCTACTAAAAGTATGAAGCATTAGCTGGCTGTGATGGTGCACACCTTTAGTCCCAGCTATTCAGGAGGCTGAGGTGGGAGAATCACCGGAGCCTGGGAAGTCAAGGCTGCAGTGACCTGTGATCATGCCACTGCACTCCAGCCTGAGTGACGAGAGTAAGACCCTGTCTAAAAAAAAGAGATTATCAATCTACTTTTAAAATATAGCAAACATAAACATTTTATAATTGAATTTTTTTATCTGTAGTGATTTCTCTTCCTCTTGAATTTATTATTTTTGCTTCAGAAGTATACCTGTTACCATAAAATATTTCCTAAGGGAATGAATATAGTGATTTCGAATAAAATTTATAGATTTCAGCGGGCTTGTCTTTTATTTGTAGGAGTTTACACTAGACAAGTTTTAGCTAAGGACGTTATCTTTTCCCAGTTTTGCACGTATTAAGTCTTAGTTAATTGGCACAGTTTTAAATTAAGAGGATCACTTATGCAATTATATTCCCAGGAAGTGTCAGCACAGGAACAATGATAGAAAAGCTCTTCTAGTTGTGGAAATTGTTTTCTTAGATTTTGAAAATGTTTTAAATATTTTTATTTATTTCCTTTGTTCTTCCTTTCTTCTTTTCCCTTTTCTTTTTATTTTTATTGTATAGTTCAGCTTTTAATGGCCAGTTTATTAGCACTGTTAAGAAATATAGCTGACACTTGAACAGTGAGAGGGTTAGGGGTACTGATCCCCTGTGCAGACAGAATTCTGTGCGTAACTTTTGTCCCCCAAAAACTTAAATACTAACAGCCCACTGTTAACCATAACCCTTACCAATAATGTAAAAAATTGATTAACACATAGACTAGTATCTGCACATATTTTATGCATTCATGGTATACCTTTTTCTTAATTTTTTTGATATTTCTAGGCTATGCGGTTCATCTCTGAGTTTTTTAAATAGTCACAAATCTCTAAAAAATTTTCTAATTTATTTACTGAAAAAAATCCACATAAAAGTGGGCCTGAGCAATTCAGACTCTTTGTTCAAGGGTCAATTTGTATTATAGTAACTTAATGTAACTCATAGATATACTGATGTGCAATAGTTTTATGTAAGTTGAGCTCTCTTAAATCAGCAGAGTAGACGAGCATACTCTTTTTTTCCTTTGTTATAGCCTGCTGAGATGGTGGAGGTTTTTCTTTGAAAGAAGAATTACAGCTATATTTTAAAATGTGTGAATAACTTTTAAGTATGGAAAGCTAATTAATGTGTGGTAGAATTACAAAGTACCTGGTCCATCTAAAACTATTTTGGGAGAAAAGACTTGTAATGAAATTTTTTATGATTCAAAAAACTGGTTAAAACAGCAAAATTGAAAAACAGTTAAGTTGATTAATGAATAGTTACTACTTGAAGAATAATGAATTTTTAATGAATACTGATGTGTACTAATTACTAAAATAATAAGCCTTTTTAAGCAGAGAACTGCTTATTTCCACCTTTTTTATGTACCTTATATATCAAGAGTAAGTGTAGACTTTATATTTTCTAATGTTATGATAGCTACTTTTTCTATTTTTAGGATTCCTAAGGGATTTGTGTGAGGTCTTATTATATTTATTGCTACCTCCTGGAGATTTCCAGAACAAGATCATGCGATACTTTGTCAGGGTAAGCTTAAACTCATACCAAATCATACCTGTAAAAAAACGTAGAGCAGCAGTTTTCAAAATTTTTGGCCTTAAGACCCTGTTACACTCTTAAAATTGATTGAAAACTCTAAAGAGCTTTTGTTTATGTGGGTTTTCTTTAAAATATTTACATATTATAAGTGAAAACTAAGAAATTTTTAAGACATGAAAATATGCGAGCATATATTTCATTACCTGATACATAGATAGAGCATCATAGCATTATGTAACTTTTGTAAAGGTCACTGTATGTACTTGAAAGAACAAGAGTGAGAAGTTAAATAATGTCTTAGCATTATTATGAAAATGGTGTTGAAAAGGTCACCTGAAACCCAAGCTTCTAGGGGAACTTCAGGTTCATGGAAACCTCCCCCCAATCCCCCAGGAGTCTCTGGCTGATAGGTGCTTTGGTTTTTGGTTATGACAAAAGTTTGTTTTAAATTTTCTTATACCCTAGTGTTATCTAAATCAGGTTAGATAAAAATAACATTTTTGGACAGAAACTTTAAAAACTGTGCAGTTAAGATTATGTTTTTTTGTAATTGGAAAATTAATGTCAGATGAGAATAGTAGTCTTGGACTCTTTATTCCCTGAGTATAAACCTTCAGAGTAAAGCTCTATGTGTAAATTTAAAGGAATAACATTTGCCTTTGGCTGCTGGTAATGATTTAGAAATGCTAGCTACATAAGACCATGTCCTGGTTGAATGGGTAAAATGAAAGTTTTGAATTTTCCTAAAAACGAAAGCTTATGATCTCTTTACTCTTTAGACAGACTAAAGAGATCATAGATATAGATATCTGTATCTGCAAAATAGATAACAATTCCTGAGACTTGCTTTTATGCTTGTATGGTATTGTTTATAAGCAATACCATGCAATTTCCTAACATCTACCTAGCTTGAGTTCAGTGTACTTCTCAGGTATGTTAATGGTACTTACGTGAAGTAATAGAAAGTGCTTAGTGTTGATGGGAGTAACCTTATTATATATTGTTAAGGCCAGTTATTTGAGCTGGTCTTTATCAAGGGTGACAAGTACCTGGATGTCTATCACTAGATTCATATCTGCCACTGAAGGAAGATAGTACTAATCAGGTATAGCACTTGTTCATGCAGAATATCCATTTGGCATAATAATCTGTTTCCATAGTACTCCAGCCAGCTACTGTTATGTGGAATCTCAGCATTATTTTGCATGTCTTTCCATCTTTTCCTTTTTGAAACTCTATTTTCTCTTTTCTTTCATGTCATTGGTCTAATTTTTAGTCACTTTTGTTTTCCTTTTTAGTCATGTTTATACTCCTTAACTTCTCTTCTGCTTAAATTTTGAATATTCAAGATCTTTAATCCCAGGACTTTTTCTTGCTCATCCATTACTGTGGCTTGAAACAGCTTCCAAATGCTAATGAGTTTGAAATTTATAGCTTTATTTCATATTTACCTTCTGAGCTCCGGGCAACTCTGAGCTGCCCTCTTGAAGTCACCACTAGAGTGACTCATAGCTTTTTAAAACTTAAATGTCCAAAGTGGAAGTCTTATTCTTACATCCATATCCTGTCTGCCTTTTAGTCTTCTCTCCATCCTAGTAAGTGGTATGATCATCTAGTAAATTTTTCAAATCTCAAGTCCTCCAAGAGGCTTACAGGTTCGCATGTAGTGTGGCCTTATTTACCTCTCTAGCCTTCATGCCAAGCAATGTCAAGGAAAACCAGAGCTGGACAGTAAAGTGTACTGAAAAACAGACCTTATCTAGCAACTGTTGCAGTAGGGGAAATGTGACCTCGGTATAGAATTGATCTCAATTCTGAATACAACAAGAACAAGGTGGGATTTATAGCCAAGGAGCAGGCCGGGGATCAGTGGATGGCAAATTACTGAAAGGAAACATCAGTTGTAAGTGGGAAGTATGGGTCAACAGACTTAATAGGATTCTTGTTGAGAGCAGGCTGGGATATTCAGACACAAAGGGTGGGGACTGAGGAATTTAGGGTGAGGGAGGTCTGTCTAAACCCACTTGATAGAATTCTTGCTAAAACAGCAATGAAAAGATGAACAGACATGGAAACTCAAAGGTTAGGGTGTAAATGGGTGGAGGATTCAGAGGAGCCTAAGTTTGGTCAAGGATAGTCTTTGTTAGTGGTCACTATACTCTAGCCACACTGACATTTTTTCCCAAAAGTGCCATTTTTCTCCCTGCCTCTCTAATGTCCTTTTTTTTCTCTGTTAAGAATGATTCTTCGGCCGGGCGCGGTGGCTCATGCCTGTAATCCCAGCACTTTGGGAGGCCGAGGTGGGCGGATCACGAGGTCAAGAGATCTAGACCATCCTGTCTAACACGGTGAAACCTCGTCTCTACTAAAAATACAAAAAATTAGCTGGGCGTGGTGGCGGGCACCTGTAGTCCCAGCTACTTGGGAGGCTGAGTCAGGAGAATGGCGTGAATCCGGGAGGCGGAGCTTGCAGTGAGCTGAGATCACGCCACTGGACTCCAGCCTGGGCGACAGAGCGAGACTCCATCTCAGAAAAACAAAACAAAACAAAACAAAACAAAACGATTCCTCTTATTCTGTCAGCTAAATTGTATTCATTCTTCATCTCACTTCATGTCACTTCCTTAGAGATGCCCACCCTGACCACCCAATCTAAATCTCCCTCATAATTCCCTGTTATTATTGATAACACCCAATTGTTTTCCTTCATAGCATTTACCATATTTTAAGATGGTAATTTGATTGTTAATTTGGTACCTCTTTCTCCCAGATGAATTGTAACTCTAATGAGGACAGAGACTATATCTGTATTTATCATAAATATATACTTAGTGCTTACCATAATAACTGGCACATAGCAGATGCTCAGTCAGACAATCAGTTTTATTGCAAAAGGAAACCCATTTACCCTCTTGCTGGCTGTGGTGCATGTGTTACTGCAGCTTCTTGAAGATTAAGTTGACTCCTAAGAGCCACGAATGAAAATCTTCCTTGTAACATGAGGTTATTTAAAATAGGTAGGATTTTAATGAGCATATTTTTTTATAATAAATTTCTCTTTTAGGCCAGTATTTTATTGCTTTTTGGTTGAATCTAATTGAGTGAGGATAATTACAGACCATGCATTTAGCAAGTCAGTTTTTTTCCTTTAGCTCTTTCTTTGTTTTCTTTTGTCAGTAATTCTAAGATTTCTCAGAAGATATTTTGTTTAGATTAAATAACAGATGGAAGAGTTTTAATTTTCTTTGTACGGATACTTTGTATAGATTGTATAAGTCACTGTATTTAAGATAATTGCTATTTAATTGCCTCTACTTTCTTGCCATTACTATGTTTTATTCCTTTAACGATATGGCTTCAATGACTTTGTATCTTTTAGGTCCCATGTTTGACAAACAGTGCTGTCTTCTAAAAATTGGGGATCTTAAAGTAGGAATTATGTGCAAGTGGCTACTTGCTTGGAATATTTAGAGCTCTCGCTAGGACCTTGAGTCATATGATTAGCCCTTGACTAACCAAACCCTTTAATGTGACAGATTAGGAGTTTTCTAGTACAAAACGACTAATTACATCAACTAATAAGAAACACATAATTTAATCAGAAATTTTCCCCAGGTGTTTTTTTCTCCTTTTGAAAAGAAACATTTGAAAAAACGTGCGTGTATGTGTGTGTGTGAATTTTCTCCTAACAAAGTACATTTTAAAATTTGAACATGTGACCGGAGACATAGCTTGAAGGAAGGAATTACATACACAAATACAATTTTAAAGAAGTAGGAGACTAAAACTAACCTTGAAAGAAGCCATTTTTTGTCGTTTCAGACTGTGAAGTGTCTCCAAAGACATTTCAGAAAATTACTGGCGCCTCCAAATCAGCTTTTTGGAAATACTGATTCATCATGGGAGTAATGGTTGGCAGAGACTTGTATAGCTTACAAAAGAGACTTGTACAGCTTACTAAAAATAAAGACCACCTTCTGTGAACTTACACGAGAAAATGGCACTAATAAATTAGAGATCTGGGAAGAAAAAATGATCCTTTAATTAGAAAAATTAAACATCCTGTTAAGCTTATTGTTATTTAATCTCCCCTAATATTCTTAAGAAATTAGGTTTCATCAATTTATATATTACTGGCACTAAAGGGTAATTCCAGGTGAAATCATTGTATTTATAGAATCAGTACTAAATTCTTAGTTTCCTTTTTTCTATTCATTTATCAAATGCCTGCCCTGTTTAAAACAATGACCTTGAGAAGATGGGATGAGGAAGGTAAATATTTTTGAGGATAAATAATTCAATAGATAAGTTGACCAATTCCACTCATATAGAGGGTTCCTAGATAGTTGCCATCTATTAGAAAAATGTAAGACTTATAATTACAGAGAAAATATCAAGTGATAAATGCTGTAGATACAGGGCATGAGTATTTCAAGCATATTTCTGTTGGAATGATCAAGTTTTATTTAACAGGGTAATTGATTCTGCAGTCAGTTTTTAAAGGAAGGGCAGAATATTAATACATAGAAGCATAAACAACTGCAAAGAATGGGAAGGTAGATTTTAGAGAATGTCGAGTCGATTAACATATCTATTATTTTAAAAATGTTTATTAGGAAACTATTCAAACACAGAGAAGCATAGAGAATAATACAGTAGACATTTATGTACCAACCACCTAGATGTAACCAGTGTTGATAATGTACTATAGTTGCTCTGTTTCCTCCCTTGGTAGCAGTTCTAAAACCAGTGTGTATCCTTTCCTTTTCTTTTCTGTTTCTATAATTTTAATAAAGATAAATGAATCCATAAACACTGTTAGTCTTATATTTTGTCTTTTTAAAATCGACATCAATGCTAACATACTAGAGGTATCATCTTGCTTTATTTCATTCCACAGTTGTTACTGTGGAGATGTGTCCAAGTTGATATAGGTAACTTATCTCATTTATCTAAACTGAAGCATAGTCATCTTTTTATAAGACTGTGTTGGTTATCAAGTTTTACTTGCATGTATATCATACTTTTCTTAAGTAACAGCGTTGTGTTGGAATATTTACATTATGCTGTTGATTTGAGAAATAGATTAAATTTGTTTTTGTTTTTTACTTTTTTTTTTCCAGGAAATCCTTGCACGAGGAATTCTTCTTCCATTAATAAATCAACTCAGTGATCCTGATTATATTAATCAGTATGTCATATGGATGGTAAGTGCCTTTTAAAATTATAACTCTGTTTTAGAAATAATTTTTAAAATGGAAAAATACAGTTGGGAGATAGGGTATTTAAGCAGTAATTTATTAAAGAAATTAAGTAGAAATGTTTCTGAAGTAATCTCTGTGTTTCCAATATTTTTATTTGCTTGTATTTTGAATGTGTTGGCCAAATTCTCTTTAAGAATTTTGTTGATTATCTTTATTGCAGTTATGGTACTACTACTATTTCTTTAAAAGAATAGAATATTTCACTACCTGTATGTATAGATGATATTTTTAATGGCTACTATTTGATTTTTAAATACAACTTGGGATTTGAACTACTTGACATGTAACTCACATTTTATATTGTATAATGGGGAAAATCTGGAGGACAGAACAGTAGAATGAGAACCAGAAGATCTGTATTCTAGATGTTTCTGTAAGTTGCCTAGTGTCTATAGTAGTTAACTCAATGGTTTTCTCCTGTCAGACATATCAAAGACTTAGTGATTACTAAGTTCACAAGCCCTATTTTTTTTTTCTTTATACCATATACTTTTCCTTAATAAACTCATGGTCAAGGAAGAATTGTAAATGGGCTACGTTCTGGGAATACTTTGATAACCTACTTCTAGATCTTTGATTTGTTTTCTTAAATCTGGTATTTCTTCTCTACATTTGTCTTCCTTTAACTCAGTCTAGCTTTCTTAAGAAAGAATTACTTGATTGTTCTTTGATTTCCCTTAGGCATTGTCAGACTTGCCATAGTTTTATTTTTTACTTGATTTTTATTTATTTATTTTTGACGTGGGATTTCACTCTTCATCCAGGCTAGAGTGCAGTGACAATCTTGGCTCACTGCAGCCTCTGCCTCCCACTTCAGCCTCCCGAGTAGCTGCGACACAGGCATGCACCACCACACCCAGCTAATTTTTTGTACTTTTGGTAGAAGCATGGTTTTGCTATGTAGCCCTGGCCAGTCATGAACTCCTGAGCTCAAGCGATCTGCCTGCCTTAGCCTCCCAAAGTGCTGGGGATTACAGGTGTGAACCATCATGCCTGACTGCTATTGTTTTATTATTATTGTTGTTGCAGAGGTTTACCCTTTGACCAGGTTGTGGTACCTGCAGACAAAAATTGTTATTAATTGTGTATTTCTAGAGCCTTTCCTCGAGACTGTGGAACTTGATTCTTCTTTTCCTTTGTGAACTTTTTTAGACTTTGCATTAGGCACTGTAAAAGCTTTGAAAATATACATATCTGCACAATTAAAAATATAATAAAATGAGTCTTCTTTGGCTAGGAATTCAACTCCTAAGAAGTTATTCTAAAGTGATAATCAAATTTGTGACAATCTATATTTAAAAATTTTAACAAGTTTTTAATATTTAAAAATTATGAATATGTGATAGTTGTACATATTTATGGGGTGCATGTGATATTTTGATATAAGCATACAATGTGTAATGTTCAAATCAGGATAATTGGGGTATCCATCATATCCAGCATTTATCACTTCTTTGCATTAGGAACATTCCAGTTCCACTCCTGTGCTTTTTTTTTTGAAATATACAATAAATTATTGTTAACTGTAGCCACCCTGTTGGGATACTGAATAGTAGATCTTACTCTTTCTGTCTGACTGTGTTTTATACCCATTAGCCATTCCTTTATTTCCCTTCCCAGCCTGTGGTAAAGAAACATTATTTGGCACTGTATCTCCATGAGTTCAGTCTTTGTTTTGTTTTTAGTTCCCACATATTTAGCCTACTGTGCATGGTTAATTTGACTTAACATAATGTCCCCCAGTCAATATTTCATTTTTTTTATGGCTGAATAATATTCTATTTTGTGTATGTACCATGTTTTGTTTATTTCTTTACGTATTTGCCAGCATTTTTTATTCCCTCTCTTTTGGATAAAAGCCATTTTAACTGGAGTGAAATAGTATCTCATTGTAGTTTTAATTTGTATTTCTATGATAATAAGTGCTGTTGAGCATTTCTTAATGTTGTCTTTTGAGAAATGTCTATTCAGATCTTTTGCCCATTTTTAATGGGATTATTAGTTTTTTTCCTATTGAGTTGTTTGAGCTCCTTATGTGTTCTGGTTATTATTTCTTTGTCAAATGGATAGCTTGCAAATATTTTCTCCTGTTCGATGGATTGTCTCTTCCCTTTGTTGATCATTCCCTTTGCTGTGCAGAAACCTTTTAGCTTGATGTGATCCCATTTGTACATTTTTTGCTTTGCTTTCTCTATGCTTTTGAGGTCTTATATAAGAAATCTTTGCTCAGACCAGTGCCATGGATTATTTCCCCACTCTTTTTTTCTAGTAATTTTATAGTTTCACATCTTAGATTGAAGTCTTTAATCCATTTTAAATTGGTTTTTCTATATGCTGAGAGATAGGGGTCTAGTTTCATTCCTCTGCATATGGATATCCAGTTTTCTCGGCACCATTTATTAAAGTGACTTTTTTCCCCAATACATATTTTTGGCACATTTGTAAAAAATGAATTTACTATGAATGTGTGGGTTTATATCTGTGTTAAGTTTGAAGTCAAATAATGTGATGTCTTCAGCTTTGTTCTTTTCTGCTTAGGATTGCTTTGGCTATTCTGGGTCTTTTGTGGTTCCATATAGTAATACATTTTGGGATTATTTTTTCTATTTCTGTGAAGAAAGTTATTGGTATTTTGATATGGTTTGCTTTGAATTTGCAGATTGCTTTTTGTAGTATGGACATTTTAGCAATATTGATTATTCCAATCCATGAATGTGGAGCATCTTTTCATTGTTTTGTGTCTTCTTCAATTTCTTTTATCAGTGTTTTACAGTTTCTAAGGATTAAGTTTATTCTTAGGTATTTTATTTGTGATTATATGGGATTACTTTTCTTGTTTTCTTTCTCAAATTGTTCAAATAGAAACACTATTGATTTTTGTATGTTCGTTTTGTAGCTTGAAGCTTTACTACATTTGTTTATCAGTTATTTTTTGTTGACTTGTGTTTTAGTCATCTTACTAAAGATACGAGTGGTTTGTACACCACAGTTGCAGTGTTATTCTGTAGTTGTCTGTGTACTTAGTGTCAATAAGTTTTATACTTCCAGATGATTTCTTATTGCTCATTAACATGCTTTTCTTTCAGATTGAAAAACTCCCTTAAGGATTTCTAGTAAGACTTGTCTCGTATTGATGAAATCCCTTAGCTTTTGTTTGTCTGGCCAAGACTTTATTTCTCCTTCAGAGTTAACAGATAAATTTGCCGGATATGGTATTTTAGGTTGGAAGACATTTTTTTTCCTTCAGCACTTTGGATGTATGAATGATCCCACTCCCTCCTGGCCTGTAAGGTTTCTGCTCAGATGTGTGCTGCCAAATGTATCAGAGCTCCTTTGTGTTATTTGCTGCTGCTGCTGCTGCTCCTTCTCTTCCTCCTTCTCCTTCTCCTCCCCACTCTCCTCCTCCTCCTCCTCCTTTTCCTTCTTCTTTTTGCATCTTTTAGGATTCTTTCTTTATCCTTGACCTTTGAGAGTTTGATTTACATGCCTTTGGTCATCTTATTTGGATTGAATATTCTTGGTGTTTTTCAACCTTCTTGTACCTGGATATTCATGTTTTTTTCTGGGTTTGAAAAGTTCTTTGTTGTTATTTCTTTGAATAAACTTTTAACCCAGTCTCTCTCTTTATGTTCTCTTTAAGGCCAATAAATCATAGATTTGCCCTTATGACACTGTTTTCTAGATCTTGTGGGTATGCTTCATTTTTTTCAGATTCTTTTTTTCTCTATGTATTTTCGTATAGCCTGTCTTAGCTCGGTTCTTCCTTTTGCTGGACCAATTCTGCTGTTAAGATACTCTGATGAATTTTTCAGTTTGTCAGTTGAATTTTTCAGTTCTAGAGTTTATTTGACTTTCCCTTATTATTTCAGCCTCTCTTAAATTTCTCGATAGAATTATGAATTCCTTCTCTGTGTTATCTTGAAATTCTTTGAGCTTCCTCAAAATAACTCCTTTGTATTTCCTGTCTGAAAGGTCATATATCTCCTTCACTTCCAGAGTGGTCAGTGGTGCCTTTTTTAGTTTCTTGAGGTCATGTTTTCCTGGATGTTCTTGGTGCTTGTAGATGTTCTTTAATGTCTGGACATTAAAGAGTTAATTATTTATTTTAATCTTCTCAATCTGGGCTTATTTCTACCATCCTTCTTGAGAGGGCTTTTCATGAAGTCAAAAGGGATTGAATGTTGTAACCTAAGCCTATGGTCACTATACTATTTCAGCGCTAGTGGGATCCCTAAGCCCAGGAATACTATGACTCTTGGAGACTCCTAAGTACACTGCTATGATGTACTTTATTAAGATAAAGGAGAATTCCCTAGGTTACCAAAGTCTTTCATGCTCTTCCCTCTCTTTCTCTTAATTACAAAGGGTCTCTTTCTGTGTAATGCTCCCTGGAGTTGGGGAAACAGTGACATGGACACTGTCATGGTCACCATAGCTGGCACTGTGCAGAGTTGCACCTCAAGCCTTGCAGAGCGGCCCAGTACTGGGGCTTGCCTAAGGCCTGTGGCCACTGCTGCCTGGCTGCTGCTGCTATTTATTCATGGCCCAGGACCACTTTAGTGAGCAAATTGTGAATTCTGCTAGGGACTGGGTCTGTCTCATCAGGGCAATAGCTTCCCTTCTGGCTAAGGGTGGGTCTAGAAATGCTGTCCCTGATGAAAGGTGTATATTCTTGGGCTTCAGGAATCTGCCTGTTTTTTTTGTTTTACTGTGGCTGAGCTGGTACTTAAGTTTTAAGACATAGCCCTCTGTATTCCTCCTTTTCCTTCCTCTAAGTGGAAAGAGTCTTTGCTGAAGTTACACTGCCTGGAAGTGATGGAGGGATGACACAGACACTCTATTGGCCACCATAGCTGGTGTTACACTGGGTCATACCCCAAGTCAGCTGACCGCTGAGAAGAGTGTATGTAGCACCAGGGCTTGCCCTAGGACTGCAGTGCTTG